TTTTCAGCAAACTGGAATGCAGTGGGCTCAGCACATTAGCTCTCCAAAGAAAATAAATGCAAATCAATTAAAAATTCAGTTTCTTTTCTTTCAGCTAATTCCTCAGGTTTTGCTAATTAGCAACTAATAGTTCTGTCATTTGAGCTGGGAAACATAAGGAAGAATACCAGTGGTATGTTTTCAATCAAAGCATTTGCATGGAGGAATGAATCATATTTTCCATGAGGAATTGTTGCTTGGGAGGAGTTGGGGGCAGGAGAAAAGCAGTCTTCACACAACTATAAAACTAGAAAAGAGACCTGAAATTAAAAACAAAAACAAAAAAAAAAAAAAAAAAAAAAAAAAAGGAGGCATCGCTCCTCTACTCTCTTTAACGAAACCAGCGGGGGCCTTACATGACATGACTTGTGAATCCAAGAAACTCTGCACAAATATCCCTGTAGGGGCAGTTAGAAAACTAGACTCCTCACCATAAGACAAAGACAATGAAACACATGTTTTCTGTAACAGAGAAGGGAATAAAAGTTAAGTTTCCGCCACAGGACAGGAATGCCTTCACTATTATGTCACCTGCCTCTGCAAGTTTATAAAATAATGAATGTATGGTGCTAAGTGAAATCAGGGGGTGATGGTGGTTTGAAATATCTCAGAACAGAGGGGGCGGGGGTGGGGCAGGATGAAACTGCTAGGAAATCCACACAGGAGACTGGGGTCCCAGTCCTGACTCCAGTACAAGTTGATCAGCTCCCTCAAATCCCCCACCCCCAAACCCCAATTATAAAGTGCTAGGGGTCCTAGAGCAGCGAGCCTGTCAGCACCATCCCAAATCTCAGCCCTGCAGTTTGAATGTCTACTTTCTTGCTTGATATACAGCCCCATCCACAGCTACCCTTCCTGAGAAAACACTCCCCCACCCAGTGTCCCTCTGAGGATTTTATTCTAAACATATGTTAGGTCTGTTTGAAGTACCCGCTATCCCTGGGATTTCTTTTCCTTTTCTTCCCTTTTTTAAAAGTCAAACCCACAAAACCTAAAATTCTTTGATTCCTGCTATTTGGGAAGATGCAACTCTGCCTACCCACATATAATAAAGTCTTGTGTAATAAAAATTTTACAGATGTCCTTGTGAAGAAAAAAAAAGAAAAAAAAAAGATTTTCCCTTTTCCGGTCTTACAGGAAGCCTGCCCACACTTTAGAAATACAAAGTTAGTATATATAGAAGCACAAATTAGGCATCTTGGAAAATCTACATTTTCCAACCACAGAGAAACGAAGGAATTACTGTGAGTGTGCACATACTCAGCCACATTGGATTAGAGGAATCTTTCCTCTCCAACAGCCTGGTATAGGCTGGCCAAGGGCTGGGAGGAAAAGGGACTAGCCGAAAAAGTTGTTTCTGAATCTAATAAGGGTCCACAATGAATGCATGCTGCAGAACTGAGAAAAGGTAAAAAAATCACAAAATTGTAGGTCTCATGCACTAAAAATTTCTTAGAAAATGCATCAGTCAGATTTTGTCTGGAAAATTAAGTGCATGTAAGTCTTTCCTATAAGTCTTTAAAAAATATGCTCATTATACTAATCCAACAGTTTTAGAAAGTTGAAGTTGCCTCCTATCTCTCTGAGACAAATAAGGACATATTTAAATAATTTAGTGAAATATATGTCTGCATATATTAAGCTTGTATTTGTTACAGAAAACACTTTTTTCCAAGAATTTAAAATGTTAAAACTTCACGAGCTCATTTACAAACTTTAAATTTCTTGAGTTACAAAATAGTTGGAAAAAGTCAGTTGAACCAATAAAGTGCAATGGGAAAGTACTATGTTCATAAGGCCAACACACAGTGGCAATCAGAACCACTCTTTTCCTAAAGTTTACAATCCACTCAATTCCTAGACTGTGTCTATAGATCTCATGGGTTCCAGGGAGACAAGGGAGTCAGGATGGCTGAGGAAAACCAGTCTACCCTGAACCAACACAGAAACTACACTACCAAACTTAATTTATTTGGGGGGCCTCCCTGGTGGCGCAAGGGGTTAAATCTCAGCACTATCCAGCTATTCACAGCCACTGCAGCATGAATTCATCAGGGAGATGGCTACACAGCACAGCAGACCTCTCCTGTCTTGCCCACTGTTCCCCTTAGCAGTGTATTTCATTAGATCCACCAGTCTGACTCTGGTGAAACCCTTCCCCCTCCAAACCACTGGTCTGTACCCCTGTTCTTGTATGCATAAATAAATAAATAAATCATAACAAAAGCTAACTTAATTTGAAGGGTGAACTTATTCACATGGAGATCTTGAAGATGGGGGATGATGATGGTGGTGGTCTAAGAACAGAAGGTGGAGGAGAAGTGTGAGGAAGGTGAGAAAGAAAATGACCAAAGCTTTTATGAATAATTGTATTTGCATTGTTCTCTAGGATTCCCTAGAGAACACCATGGAGCAGGCATTGCCATCAATCACCCCTTTAAATTAGGAACAATTGTTTAAAGTGCCCAAACACTTGGCCAACATCACACAACCAGTAAATGACTTGATTGGAACTTCACCTATTTCCCGTGTCTTCAGCCAACCTGTGCAAACACTAGTACTCCCTACCCATATTATATATGTAAAGATATCATTTATAAATGACCAACTTAAGGATTACTTTGGGATACCAAATCAAAATAGCATTTTTCATTTGGTTATAGACAACTTGCACAGCACAAGTCATCACGTGTTCTTTGAACAACAGAGTGGGGAAAATCTGAAGAATAACCGAACTCTTGGTGCTATTTCCTCCAAATGGTGTGACAATGAATAGGCCCAGTTCCACTGAGAGGTTTGCAGTTCCCAGAGCTGGCTAATACTCCACTGGAGGCCCAGGTGTGCTGAGAGCCCAGCCCTTTACATGACTCAGACAAAGTTAAGTGGGCAAGTAGAACAAATGGACCAAGAGTAAGCTACAAGTTCAATAGCACATAGAGAAAGTTAACATTATCTGCCTACTTCCATCAGTCAAGAAGGGCTTTTAGCTATCCTGACCAATTAAATACCTGAGTAATTATAGGGCATCTGGAATAGAAAACAAAACATAAATACCAATTGGGAATATTCTGTTTCACAAATAAGTAAAACACAATGCAGGGAGGGTGTGGTTAATAATTTAGAGTTAAGGGGGCCTCCCTGGTGGTGCAAGGGGTTAAGTCTCAGGACCAAAAGCTACCAGCATCCACTGTAGTGTGAGTGCCATCCCCAGCTTGGGAGGCGGCCCACATGGTACAGCAGACCTCTCCTTTCTTGCCTACCTCTCCCCTTAACAGTGTATTTCAGTGGATCTGCCTGTTCTGCTCCCCACTCTATCTCTGGTGAACCCTCTCACCTCCCACCACCTACCCCACACCTCCCACCTACACCCTAGCTCTTATAGTCATAAATAAAATAAATTTTAATAATTTAGAGTTCATTCTTTGTAAAAAGTAAAAGTACTCAGGAAGGATTAAAAAAAGTGTTGGAAGTATATGAGAATCCCACATGTTTCTTCATGGATGATAACCAAAAATGACCCATAAATAAAAACACAGTGTAGAAAACTTATGGCTGTGCGAAGAGGGAAAAGCCTACTGAAACTATTTTAGACTCTTGTCCTAAAATAAAAGTATCATGATACAAACAAACAAAAAAATCAACTTTAAAGATTGAAGAAACTTGCACACTACAACTTACTGCTATAATTTCCTCCTTATTCCTGTAATTGAAAAACATAGTAACACAGCACTTTTTAAACAGAGCTGTTATAAACCTTTTTTAAAAGCTCAGAAGAATCCATAGAACTTTTCCTCCATGCTTTCTATGCTTACTAACACTTAAAAAAAAAAAAAAAACTCCACTCAAAAAAGTGCATCTTCTTTCTTTACCAACAATATAATCTGGTGGTGGGGAAGCAGTTGCTAGGACTTAAGGTTCGAGGCACTTTGATCTGCACCCTGGTGAGGGAACATTCTCCTCTCTGCAAGCCAACTAATGAAGGGATAAAATTAGCTTTTATCCTGGGCACTTTCTTGAGCAAGAAAACATGCACTAATCAGCTGTCCTCACTAATCAGTCATCTGGCTAATGACCTTTTGCCTTAAAACACTAAAATTTCTGAATGATGTGGAAAAAGGGAAACACAAACCAGTCCCCCTCTCTGGAGCTCAATGGATCATCTGGAATTGGAATTGGGAAGGTGAAATGGCAAGGCTGTATCCTGGCAAGGTGATAAATCTGTAATCAAGAGCTGCAAGTCTTGGCACCTCAATATGAACCTCATTACCCCACAACGGAATTATATTTATAACTAGAAACAGGCCAGAAACAAATGCAACCCTTCCATAGTTTTCTTTAAATTTTCTGTTTTTGTAGAAAATCATAGTATATCTGTGTTCACAGTCTGGTGAATTTCTTAAACATGATTAGTGCTGGGAGAAAAGCTTCCAGTGTACCTGGCATGCTGTTTAAAGAAGCAGAGCAAGTAGAAAAACCTTCCATATTAAGAAATTTATCACTGTTTTGTTAAATGTGTTCCTCCTTTACAAGTAAGCAAAAAAATCACTAACAACTGGAACAGGCAATGGTAAAGACTTCCACTAATGCAACCTACTTTACTAACTCCCCCATCAACTAATTTTCCTCCTGTGGTCTACTTGTATGGAACAAATCTGGTTTAATTCCCAGAAAAGGTCCACATGGACCAGCCACAAATGGACACCTTCCTGAAGACAGCCCTATGAGGTCTGAAGTTGCTTGGAAGTGTAAAGAAATGACTCTCCCTAAAAGAAGAATGGGTAGGAGACTGGAGGAGTAAGAGAAGTGGAAAGTAAATAAAACATTTTTATAAATTGATACGCAAACCAAATGATTCACCAAGCCTATGTGTATGTGAACACATGCATGCACACATACACAAACACACACACAGAGTTTTCCTGTGCCCCTCGAAGGAGTGTCACAGGGCAAGAACCACTTACGGTAGTGGGGCTCCATGTAGCCATTCCTGGGGTCCATGGCAAACACGGCCCCTCGATAGGGAACGGAGGGCTCAGCCAGGTGCGGCAGGGACCCATGGATCTCCTTCTTGATTAGTGAGGCCCTCTCATCACTGGATGTTGAGGGCTCCTCACTGATCTTGCTGAGCCCCTGGACACTCTGTGGCTGCATAGTGACTGCGTTTCTTCTCTCTCTGTGATAGGTCTGTCCAGGACTTTCATCCTCTGAAGAAAGAAAGAAAGAAAGAATGAAAGGAGAGTTCTGTCAGTTCTTTCAAGAGCATTTACCACCAGTAATCAACTAGGCCCCTCTCTCTCCAACCCTTCTTCCCAAAGGAGCCTGACTCTCATTCTTGGCAACTCTGAAAGCTATACCAGAATAGGACTGCGGGTCCCCAGTCTGAACTGAAGGACCCAGGGAACAGGAAATGAGCCTATTATATTGAATTTTAGGGGGTCAAGCAAAGCATCACACCAGCTTACAAGTTTATTTGCCAATGAGGCTTTTCATCAAGGATTTTCATCTAAGTTTTGCCAGTCTGAGGCTGTGGAAGCCCAACTGTTAAAAAGAGATCTCAAAGTTTTCATGTTTTCTAAGTCAGCTCTGTAACCCACTGATTTAACTGAGTCAGAAATAGGGAAAAAAGAAAAAAAAATGGTTACAAAAGATAACGGTGTGCCAATCCTGGAAACCTACAGTGCCCCTTGCTGGAGCACTTGCTGTTCAGTCCACACAGTGGAACTGAAAACCAAGAGGAAACAGAGCAAGACTAGAAGTCCAATGGGTGAGAAATCAGTTGTGCCGATATATGGACAGGCCATGGTGGGTTCATTCCCTTTTCCAGACATGAAGGGAGCAGCTTGATGAAATCCCATATATATTGATATTCCAGTTCCCTCAAATGCTGTTCCCTTCGGTCTCTAAGAACTTTCCATCTAGCCACTAAGATTCTCTGCAGATGCAACTGAATGACCTTACTGTAATAGCAGATTTAAAAATGCATAAAATTAAACCAACCTGGCAATCTGAACCCACAAAGGACAATTCATCTACTAGAATCACATACACACACACACACACACACACACACTTACTCCCAAACAAGTCTTGCATTTAACCCACAGACACTGATCTGACTGGTATGTGCTGACAGAAACAAAGCTGGTAGGGCTCTGTTTACACATCTAATTTTGAAACTCCCATTCCTGACCTTAAACATATAATATATATGTATTACATGTGTATATACACATATATATTTATGTATTTGTATACTTATATAGAAATATATTTGATTATAAATGATAATGCTGTTGTACACATTTTAGATGGACAGATTTTGAATACATCTTATTCCAACATACAAACTTATCTTCAAAGTATTCCATAAAGCAGATATGTCTGGCTGAAAGCCCCTAAAAAAATAAAAAAAGTTTGCTTTAGCAGTCTCATAGCTCTTTATACAAATGCAGAAGAAAGTATAGCTACAAATACAGACTAGCATAAAAATACAAATTTAAGTACCAACTGTTTTGTGTTGACTAATGAATGACTCGAACTACCTTAAGCCACTAGCAACTTTAGTTTTTCTGCTTATGTCTGGGACTTGAAGGAATAAGCAATGTATTTTTTTTTCCAGCCTAGCAAATGACTTGCAAAATAGAATAAACAATGAGATATGTTCTGCTTTTTGCAGTGAATTTGCTGACTACTAAAGTGTAACCATGAAACATGATTCTACTATTGTTTCGTGCAGATCTTCACCCCAAACTTTATGGGATAAATTACTATTTTAATCTATCAAGTGACCAATAAAAAAACTGGTGTAATCCCACATTTTTATGCATTGATCTTTACAAAAGCAATTCAAACCATGCTTTGGGTAATTTGAAAACTACAACAACGAAATCCTGAATTTTCATTCTCCCTTCTAATACTTTCAGGCATAGTCTACCCTGTACTTCACTCATAGTAAAGTTGGAAGTTATAGAAGACATGTGGTTATGTAAAAGCAAAAGGGTGTCAAAAACACTAGAACTCATAGTCAGCATTATAAAATTTCCTATAGCCTACAAATGGTAAGTCATATTTTCCACTAATTCGTGTTCCATATAAAACCTTTATTTCACTTCAACCTGAAGTGAACTTACAGTTCTGAGGTGCAAATTCTGTAGAATGGACTTTCATTTAGAAAATCAGAAAGCCCTTTCCAAGAGGGACTGCAACTCATAATTAGCATTCTCTAGAAGAGATGAATAACCAAGCTCTACTAATCTGTTCCAGGTTTAAAACAGGATCCCCTTGGCTTAATCTTCCTAGACGAAATGAACTTTTCTTCTCTTAAAATTCCATCCCTATAATAGAGTTTCTTAGAAGCCATGCCTTTAGGATGAGCATTTGAAAATCCAACTTCCCAAATAATTTAATAATTGGCATGGTCTGGCCAGAGTCTCCCCATCTCCCCCAACTTTCTGGGTGGGTGGAAATGGGGATATCTTTTTAGCTAAATGATTTTTACAAGTACTATTTTTTTTAACTTAAATGTTTTAATTTGATATTTTCTTAAAGAGAGTTAACCCAAGACATATATTAAAGGCACAGTAAAGCAAAGTTCAGATGTTTAATACAGGAAAAAATGAACTAATTCCCACAGTAGAGTCAACTGCAGCCACAAAATTTATTTAAACTCATTGTCAGGAAACTATTCCAGTAGTGAATGCAATCACACCCATACCTACCCTCCCCTGCAAGAAATCCCAGGAGACAAATATTTCATGAAGTTTACCTGGTGTACTGACACAGACATTCAGATGAAAACTTGACAGTACACACACGCTCCAGAATACAAGCAGCTACGAGGCTTGAAAGTGCACTCTCCACAGTGAAAGGGAAACTTTCCAAGCAATATTCCTGCCTGCTCTTATAAAGTTAGCAACCACTTCAGCAAGCCAAAAGACGAAAGCTGTCTAATCTTGTTCAGTTGAGCCGCGTTGTTCAATAAAGTTTGAGAGTCAGTGCAGACAGGCTACGCCAGGCCAAATTATTGACAGAAACATACTGTCCACCATGGCAACTCGCAGAAGTCTGCTGCAAAAATGTAAGCAAACAGCCCATTGCTCCAGGAGCATCTGCCAGTGGACTTTAACAGCCAAACACAAGGCGACTGTTCATGCTACTCTGGGTTTAACAGCTACACGCTTGGGGGTCAAACCGAAATATGCAATTCTAAGAAGTTTCAGGGGAAAATTACTTTAAATACTGTCATCATCGTCCGGTCCGTACCTCCTTCCTTCCGTACATCATGCTCCAGTGGAAGTTAACGAATTCCTGTTCCCAAATGGAGAGTTGCCCAAGTAGCACATTTTAGAAACTGTCCCACATTTTGCAAACTCATGCAAAGGCAAACGACATGGAATTGGACATGCAGTGCCACACAGGGACTGACTTTACCATAGAGGTGTAAGCAAAACCATCTCACTGTGCAAAGCAGACACACACTCCCACGGATTTGCTCACAAACTCCAGTACAATTCCTCATGGCATCAAGTAAAGGAGTACTTTTTTACTTAGGACTTGAGATAAAAGTTTCAGAATTCTTCCAAAATAAAAATAAAACCCTGTGCTGTGTAAGTATCTAAGAACACCGCCTGTCATCCTCAAAAAGGAGGTGGAGAGGCATTCACAGAACACACGCTCACCCTTTTTTAATCAACATCGATTTTCAACTGTTCCCTTAAATCCCACTTTAATGCCATCGCTCCTCTCTTCCCCCAAGAATAGAAGACAGAGTGTAAGAGAACAGACAATACTCACAACTCAGTCCCCAAAGCTCTGGCTAGCTACTTCTGCAAACTTCTTGCGGTGGGCTTCCCTAGCTGTGGCAGACCCTCTAGGAACGTGGGTTCTCAGTGTCTCCCTACCTCCCTCTCCCTAGCAGCGTTGCCCCCATTAGAGGAATTAAAAGTGGTCGGAGCCATGCTAAATTTAACAAGCTCATTAGTATTCTTTCTGAGTGCTTCCGAGTGAACTCTCCCTATTCAAGCCACTCTCTCCAGCAGAAGGGTCAGGCGGCTAATCATTAAATCAAACTAATGTCACCCTATCACAATCAGCCCGAGAGAAGGAGGGTTTATTATTTCAGTTTATGCTAAATAAACGGTTTTACAAATGGTCCCCAAGCAAGGTCAACAGCAGCTTCAATTACAAGACAAACTTAACAAGAGTTGCTATAAACCAAGTACTCTGTATTGACTTAAGAACAGGCTCAACTCCACATATTGCCACTAGCAGGGTTGTACAGGAATGCATATTGTAAAATAAAGGAAGGGGGAACTTCTTTCTTTGCCAGAATTTGCGACTGCACAGCGACTCTTCATTCACCTCTCTCCAACCAGCTAGCCGCTCAGCTCAATTCACCCCACACAAAGGCTGGAGCCCAGACCTCAATGGACCGAGTGAAACATGTTCAAAACTAGGCTCTCTATTGTGACTGAATTTCTTAACATCTTTTCAAAAAGCGGAGAATGCCTTGAGGCTAAAGGAAGAAACAGGCTAATGGTGAATTGGGAATTCTGAGCAAATTTCAGAGCCCTTTCCTCCTAGCTTTTGAGGTTGAAAGCAAGCTCTTTCCTTTCAAGTTTCAAAGTCCTTTTTCCTCCCGCAGTGTCACAGAAGGATTTGAAAAGAAGGTAATTGTGCTCGCAGTCTCCCTGATCAGAGCTTACGTCCTATTTCTGGTATTTCGGAATACTTCTTGCAATAATAGTGCATATAGCTCAATCCCTTAACCGGCCTGCACTCTGCAATTGCTCATTAAATGAACAATTGCGGGTATAAAATGCCTTTTATGTTCAAGGTCTGGATATAAGATAAGCATTCTAGGACTCTAAATTTGGTTTACTAAGGAAACTCTCCATCATTAAATTACAAAACTGAAGTCAGAATATCAGGCTTTCCCAGAAAAGTGGCACTCAGATTTCAGTGAGCCAAGATGAGGGGTGAATGGGGGGTGGGGAGGAGGCAACAAAATTAAGGAAGGAAAAAAAAAAATACTGAATGCTCAGATTTCTGGCCAAATGGGATTGTAAAAAGAAAACAATATTTCCATGTTTGAAGAAGGTCTGAGTTTGCAGGACCTCATCATTTCTATACTGAGTAATATAATAAAGTCATTGTCAAATGCATTAAAAAACAGATCTGAGCTTTAATCAATATGCAGATGATTGTTTCAGACAGCTCCCAGCAAACATCTCCCACTTGTTCAAAAAATCTTCCTTTCCATCAAATAAGGCTTCATCTTTTCTATCCTCTCCCAGACCCCTACAATGACCCAAGATAGCAGCAGGACTCGGTGTTAGATTCTGGAGCAGAGACAGAGGCTATGTCCCTGCAAGTGTTACAGTAAGATCCCCAACCATACCTTACTGAAACCACACACACACACCCTGTTCACAGGACAAGAACTCTTATTCCTTGGGACTGACACCTGGACTTTGGAGGCACCTCCTGCCCAATGCCAGCAATAAAAGGGGAAGAGGGAGTAAATCACATTTTTATGTGTAGATTATTTTCAAAACTCCAATTATCTCCCACTAAGTTGTTGCCAACATAAACCCACCCACTCCTGGGATGCACCAAGTGGGTTCAAAGGACAAAGCCACCACGAGACATCTGCCCTCAGGGCCTGGGGGCCTTGGAGCACAGCATCCTCACAGGCGGGAAGGAACACACGCTCTGCACAAGGCTGCAACACCCCGTAACACACTGGGGTGCAGCCAATGGCTTTTGTGTGTTCCTGCAGTTTTGAACGTGCTTCTACACCCAGTCCCACCTTCTTGTTCTGAGCAAGAATCACAGCATCATTTTCTGCTTTCCTCCCAGGAAATCGCCTTGCTATATTTGGAACGAACATTATTTCATTTATCCCTATTATGCATTTGTTGCATAGTGTTGGCATTTATTTCTTTAGTTATTCACGTTTTGATGTCCTTTGAATAAAAACTAATGTAAACCAAGTCTTTGCCTCCCTGTTTTAGAATTCTCTCGTGATTTTGACCAAAGAGCAAACAGAAATGAGAAAGATAAGAGGCTAAGTATATTCATAAGCATTGTAGAATTTTACTAGGGGGATAAAGTTTCTGTAGTTTTTAGAAGCAGAATCTTGTCTCTTTCCATGCAGGCTACAGTCCTGCCTAAGCCAGGGTCTGCTGCCTACAATGTCTAGAGCTTGGCTTCCAGAGGCAGGGAGCAGACAATACCTTCTCTAAGAGCGTTTCCAATGCCCTTGGGGTCAGACATTGCCCTTCTGAGGCTACACATACATCTCATTGACAATGACTGATGACAGTAGGAGAGGCCCAGATGGATCAGAAGAGAGCTCTCAGCTTTGTTTGCAACCTTTCAACCACAATGCAAGGCCTGCAACACCAGAGGGCTGCAGCAGCTTGGAAGCTTAGGCGAAATTCAAGTGGCCACCCTTCCTTCAAGATTACAGGGTAGCTCTCTCTTCCTACTTGTACCAACCAGAAGGTCCTGTGGGTTTCGAAAGGAGGGGAAGCAGAAAATGCCTTCCCTCAGAGTCTAATGAATATCTTAATTATTTTAATATTTCTAGAGTTCTTTTTGTCAAAGAACAAAACATCTAGACTGAGCGACAGCCCACAGAAACTATTCCAAAAAGCAGATTAGTGCTCACTCCAAAGCTACTTTCTCACCTCCCTTCCCACTACTTGGTTGACAGAGCTCCATTCAACTTCAAAAGGGATGCCTGAGAAGGAGGACAGTCTCAGCAGAGAAAGAAAGATGGGAATTTTGATAAACTAAAGCATAATCCCTGAAGTCTGGTTACCTCATTAATGAGGATGGCATGCAAAGCAAGCAGCTTCCTGACTTTTTTCAAAAAAAGTAGTAAGATGAGGACTTCTTGCCCACTGGGAAAATCCAGAAGGGGTAACACTGAGAGATGCTGAAGCCTCACCAAGCATGTCCTAGGGCCTTGAGATTACCTTCACTTCCTGTAAGCCTCTGAGCCTAAATCACTGTCTGTGTCCCCAACCCTGCCCAGCAGTTGAGGATGCTTCCTGGGCAGCGAATAACAAGCACCCAACATTACCCAGCACGCTGGGGTATCTAAGATCAAGCACAAGCCCAACTGTCCAAACCAACTTTCAAAGTTCTAAATGAAAAATGCTAGCCAACTCCTCCCCACCAGTAAAGAGAACACACAGGAGCTCAAGTTCCCTGGGGGCCCCTGCAAGCTCTCCTTTAAAGTGGAGGAGGGAGATCTCCCTTATATTCCGTGAGCTTGTGAGGACCCTGACCTGAATTAAAAATTCTGAAATGTCATGAAGCTTCTTCTATTAGCATGCTATTAGTGGCCAGTTGCCGCATACAAAGAGTGAGTTAATTAGTGCTATCAAACACAGAACAGTAAATTCTTGGGACTGCCAATTATTTTTTTTTTTTTCTTTCTGGTTAGTATTGCATTTATGTCTGTCCATGTGAGTAACCGTCCATGTACTTAGGTATTAGAGATTTCTTTAAAATCCCAGTTTCAGTCTTTTAGGAGAATGAGAGTCTCTCACTTTGCATATAAAGGCCTGAGCCAGTGAAAGTCCCTAACAAGCTCCATAAGTAACAATTTACTGGAACAACAAAATGCCTATTCATGAGACCAGAGTACCTACCTAGGTGGCCAACACCCTCTGCACCACTGAGGGGGCTCTCTCACCCCAGGAATCCCCACCAGGTCACCTGGCAGGACACTCTTCCTAGAAAGATACAGGAGTGAACCTCTGTGCCTAAAGCTTTTGTGACAGCACTTTCAAATGGTGGTTCCCAGATCTGTGACCCTCATCCCAACACCAGCATCCTATTTTCCTACTATTTCAACTACTTTTTAAAGTATAAGAGGGAACACAAACTGAACTGACTTCATCTGATGTGTTTGTGTTGAATTTTGTTCGTTTTCATAAGATGGTATAATGAGAAATCCTGAGTATGTGATTGTATTATATTTGGAATAAAATTTTACAGAACTTGTTTACTCCTTTAGAGAAACCAGGCTCTCTTGGAGGGTACATTTAAATATCAAGAGAACATCATTAAAGTAAGAAATGAACTCTAGGTGCCTCTGCCACAGTGACAGGATTAACATGGTGAGTGCACAGGGCTCACCTCCTCAATCAGTCACCTCAATCAGCCTCCTGGCAAAGGCCAGGAGCTACAGTCATGTTTGTACAACACAAGCTCCCTCTAGCAATTGCCCAGTTTGACTTCAGTCATGAAACAAGCATTTGAGAAGCCCAAATTAAAATACCACATTTGATTCTTCACAATTTTACCACAGGTGAGCACAGACTTGCCTAGGCAAGGCGACTGCTACTCACCTAGCCACAAAAAATGGGCAACTCTAAGCTCTTCCAGGTAACAACTCAGAAGTTGTGAAAACACGGGGAAGTAGGACAATCACAGTACCTGACCTTCCCCAAAGCACATCTCCACAGTCAAAGCCAAGGCAGAATGAGGCACTGCTACCCAGTTGCTCCGCCCTTCTCTCCTCTGGCCAAGTGGACCAGGCAGGCACCCCATCTTCCTCTAGTGAGACTGGGGACCAGGACACAAATCTTTCTCCTGGCCTTGCTCCAGCTACTGGAACCTAATATCCCAACATCAAGGGAATGTATTTTTTTTAATGTTTATTTATTTATGCATACAGAACTGGCATACAGGCCAGAGGTGCAGGGGCAGTGAGAGGACTCACCTGAGACAGAGTGGGCAGCAAAGTAGGCCTATCTATGAAGTACCCTGCTGAGGGGAGCAACAGGCAAGACAGAAGAGGTCTGCTGCGCCATGTGGGTCATCTCCGGGGCCAGGGATCGAATTTGCACTGAAGCAGCTGTGTCCTAACCTATTGCACC